TCCTGATGCGGATCAAGTTGCTATGACTCAAGCAGTGAAAATCCTCCAGTAAATACTGTTATATCTTTAGCTTCACTGTAACAGAGAAGATAGAAATTCCGACCAAAGTGCGATTGTGAATTGCCAAGTTCTGATGGCATCCTACTTCTTTTTGGTCAAATGGCTGTGAAGTCACCAATTAGTAAATAGGGAAGAGTTTGAACTTAGAGGCCAAGATTGAGGGGTGGGTAGAAATCAATGCAAATCTTGAAGGGAAATGAAAGAGGGAACTCCAAGAAAATCAAAGACAGTTGCCAAAAACATTATTCCAGATGAAAAACCAGAACTGAAGCTAAATGAGAGCCCAGTAGGTGTGATCCTGAAGCCAAGTCAAGTAGAGAGGGTTTGAACACAGTGTCTCAGCTGTAGGCGTCTATGCTGCATTAATCTGAGAACCTATGCTCTGTGTGCGTTAAAGCAGTTGTATTCAGAACTGCTCTCTGGTGACCAGACAAAACCATAGCAGGTGTTATCTCTGATGCACCCACAGAAAAGTTGTAACTTTTCTTGTAATATTGTTAGGAAGGAAAAATATACTGAAGAGTTTCAAAGCTGAAATTTGGAAGCAAGTGATAAGCAACTAAGAAACAGAAAACAAGACAGGTGTGTTGTGTTCCAATCGATGAAGTGTGAGAGAAGAATATTCCAGAAGATCAAATACTACAGGCAAAGACTTATAAGATAAACTATGTGTGAGATAGTCCGCAAACAGAAATATAGGCCTCGTGAGCAGAAGATTCTTCCCAAGGATTTTTATAAGAGGAAATTGAAAGGATAAGGTGTAGTGAGTTTGGGAAGGGTGAATAAAGATTAAGGAAAAAAAGAGTAGTGAGTGTTTAGAACGAAACTCTTTTACTCAAATGAGTTTCTCCATCAACGCAGTTGGTAGCTCCCGTTCCCAGCAACCACTAGACAAAAGAAGCGATGCCTCCTAAATTTTTATCTCTGGACCATTCCAACGGGGTACAGTAGTGGAAACAGTGAAGAGTACCTGAGCCTCGCTTCTGGTATGAGAAAGCTAAAATTATATGTAACAATGGATGCTGAGGCAATGTGAAGTCACGAACACTCATTACACAGAAGCTCAGAGGGAAGACTGAGAGAGCCGGTCCTGTCTCCTTACTCTCCTTCACACCCACCTCTCGGTTTGCCCACTCTGCTCTCGCACCTGAGCTCCCAGGCTTCAGCTCAGTCCCGCTCTTGGACAGTCAACAGCTGAGCAAGCCTTTTGAAGGTTTCCATCCTCAGAGATGTCCCAAGGAGGATCCCGGAGGAGCAGGCACCAGGCCACCTTGTCAATTAGTCCCCATGTTAGACTGTCCTTATCACGGCCCAGTCATACAAGGCTTGACGTCCACTGGGTTTCCATCTGCACATCTATTCATGCTGCCATGGGACCTATGAAACATGAAACGGATGTTGTGTGACTGGTCTTACCGACCGCTGCTCCTGCGGGAACCTATGTGACAATTATTTGAGAACTGTCATACAGCTTTCTCCTACCATTTTGTGGTTTTTCTCTTTTCATTCTATCTTATTGTAAAATTTTTCAAACTCATAGGTAAGTTGCAAATATCATTTCATAGAGACACATTTGCCCACTGTGCAGAATTTTTGCTGTATTTGCTTCATACTTAAAGTCCTGTTGCTGTTATTATTGTAGCTGCTGGCGGGTTGCAAGCTGGCATTATACTCCTATGCATATATTACATGTTTATCACACACATCACCAGTTTCTATTGGATACAAAAATAAATAGAAAAATAGACTATAGATAATAGATAGGAAAATATTAGAATCCAAAAGACCTCGAAGGTGATACAGTATATTAAATCCTCTTTTTTTTTTAGAAATAAGGGTACTTGGGGAGTACCTGTGGCTCAAAGGAGTAGGGTGCTGGCCCCATATACCGGACGTGGCAGGTTCAAACCTGACCCCAGCCAAAAACTGCAAGAAAAAAAGAAAGAAGGGTACTAATGCCAAAGGAAAACGAAGCTAGACTTGTTTTATGACTTTTGTTCAGTGCCAATCAGAATCTCGAGAGACACAATCCTGAATCTACAACCTCAATTTTGTAAAATTCCCAAAAGATCAAAAATTTCTAAAGTCTAAAATTCCTAACTTCTAAAATCCTCAGTGTTACAATCCCAGATAATTAAAGTTCCAGGATGTTAAAATCCTGAAAGCCAAATGTCAGGGAAGGGATTAGTGTGTTTTCAATTCTATGCAGGGTGGTGGTGTCAGCTTGGCTGTGTCATGTTAGGTGGGACTGTTGCCTGGTCATTGTCTCTGTTTGGGAATTAAGTCTGGTGTAAAGAAATGTGTGTGGGTGCCTGGAGAAGCCAGCAAAGTTACTGACTGGTTCCAAAATAATTATGTGCCCTTTTGGATAAGAAGACACAGAACTGTGTTGCTGTTTAATCGCTATTACTGTCTCCACCAAATGTGTGGTCTGTATGTTAGTGCACGTGGAATGGATTTTCCCATACTCAAAACAGCCCCGAAGGGTGGCCGAGAAGATCAGAAACTGTAATAAAGAATGTATGCGTCAGTGTGTATGGGAATCATATTAACAGAACTTCAAAAGCAGCAGGGCCATGTAGAAAATGCACGTGAACATATTCGGAAGACGGCCAGGCCCTAAAAGAAAAAAAATGTTTCTCATTTAGATGTGAGACTGCAATGTAGTTACTTTCGTGAAAGCCGGCTCTCATGGACTGCCTCCAGGCAATTGCTCATCATCTATGCCTGGAATACATGTTCTCCTATGACAAGTTTTCTTTTTTTGTTGTTTCTTTCTTTTTCTTGTTTATTTTTCCCTGTTATTTTAAATTGTCAGCATTACTTTTTACAAGTCCACTTTTTATGCTATGTATTTAATCTTTGCATCATTTTCCATGCTGGAGATATGGATTGTGTAAGGACTTTTTGAGAGCTCTAATTTGTTTTATGCATTTTTTTGTAAATTTGACCCCACAAAACTGCCTTATCACAATGCTGACTTTGTACTAAGCACAAAATATTAATAGAAAATTTTAATGAGGCAATAGTTACAAAAAAAATGTGAATGAAGTTAGGAACCAAGTATAGAAAAAGATACTTGCCAAGTATAAAAGAAAATAAAAGCCAAGAAAGGTCAGAGCTCAGCTATATACACATCAGATTGAAGACTTTTAAAACTCAAGTCTTTTTCCAGCAAGGGACAAGAGACACTTGCAAAAGTTTTCACAAAAACTTTGTGATCACAAGATTCGCCCCACTATCTTACATTTTGTCAGGGTCCTTGACCTCAAGGTCTTATGTAAATAACTCTTACAGAATTATAAATGATTTGTTTCTTTGCATTGCACAATACCCTTGAATAATTTTTTCAAAGAAGACATTTGGAAAGACAACACCTTATTTCAAGAGTTGAAGATCATGATATATTGAGCCAGCAGTGGGGATGAGGTTTCTGGCCTTGGTAAGAATGTCAGACACTTAGTGATAGTGTTTAGTTATGCATTTGTATTTTATCTGGCATGTTGATGGAAGCACCAGATTTGTTTCTTTAGCTCATAGGAAGAACTTGCATTCCATAGGCCATTCACGTAAGAATAGCATGTTTTCTGCTCTCACTCAGGAGTTGGAGACCAGCTTGCACAAGAGTGGGACCCGATCTCTATTGAAAATAGAAAAACTAGCCAGGTGTTGTGGCAGGTGCCTATAGTACCAGTTACTCAAGAGGCTAAGGCCAGAGGATCACCTGAGCCCAGATGTTTGAGATTGTGCTCTATGAAACCATGGTACTCTACCCAGGGCAACAGAGTGAGACTGTCTTAAAAAAAAAAAAAAATTAACAGCTTCTAATGAATTTGCTACTTAATCTGCATTGCTATTTACTTCTGTACTTTCTCCAGCACTTAACACACACCTGGGACTTAAGAAATGTAATGTAACTGAGTGACTTACAAGATTGAAGAAAATTAAATATTTAATTTTAAAATTTCAAATGTGCTTTTAATGATATTAATCAAACAGAATATTATTGCTTAAAAGCAAGATAAAGAAAAATTGAAGAAATAAAAACTTCACCATAGAGGAAGCAGTTACTATAAATTCTAAAACTTTTTCTACATAAATTTGTTTACATCTCCCCTTCTGACATTTCTGTTCATTATGTGATTTGTGCACAGAGATGTACAATGTTCCGATCTGAAACATATTAAATATGAGTGGCTGATTTTGCTATAAGATTTTATATGGAATTTGTTAAAGGTTTTTTGAATGAGTAAATTGGGTTACTTTTTCTATATGAAACTGTTTTATTTTGAACTATAAAATCAAGGTTAGACTCTTATAGCTTAAAGGTTCAGAAAATAAAGAGCTTTGACAATCATAGAAATCCTAAGTGTTGATTTAGTGAACGTCGGGATAATTATTACATTATTTGTGATCCAGATTATTGTTCTTCAAGTGGCACTGTTGTCATTGCTGTAGGTGTAATATAGTGAGGACAAAGCCATACACTAGAATTGGCTGTTGTAGAAGTTGTAGCTACAATTTCAATTTTGGGGGAACAGCCAGTGTAAGGAGTAGTTGAAGGCTAATTTTAGTGGTGGTCACTAAAGGTTAATTGCTGAGGAACAGGTCATTTAGGTGACTTATGGCAGTTCCGTTTAGTTTGTTTAGTTTAAAGCAGTAATAGTGGATCTGTGGTTGCAGGTTCCGATGAAAAGGTGGAGATTATCAGTTGTTGAAAGAGGGGGATGAGAACTGTTATTGGAGGCTACGTAGAAATTACAGTAGGTTAAGTGGAAGTAACAGCAGCTGTATGGAGTCATTTGAAGTGAACTTAGTTACGGATTCAGTTAAAGAGATGGTGGAAGTGGTATCGGTTTGGGTTGTCACCTATGCTTAATTCGTCATAGCATTTAATGTCATTAAAGTTCTAGCTGTTGCAGAGTCTGTTGAAGTGATCATTATTTTTTACGGATGGCTCTTGTGGTTATAGTTTGAGTTGTGGTGGTGGTGGTTGTAGATTTAGTCGAAGTGCTGGTTGAAGTGGTTGGAGTTGGAGGCTCCGTTGAAGTGGTTGGAGTTGCAGGCTCTGTTGAAGTGGTTGGAGTTGCAGGCTCCGTTGAAGTGGTCATTGCAGTTTGAGAAGTTGCACAGATTGTCCCAGGGTTGTTTGGGGGTAGCTGGATAACAATGTAGGAATAGTCATCTCCTTTATTATTCACCAGGCATATTATGAGTACTCCAATCACTGTCGTAATCACACAGGCTAAGAGACAAGCCAGGAAGACTTTCCACAGAGACCACTCATTGCAGCAATTTCCTTTGAACTAAGAGAGGTATAAATGAAAATGACAGTAATGAAAAACAAAAATGCTTGTGATCATTCTCTCTTTGGTATTATTTATAATGTATGCATTAACTTTATTCGAATCATTATGGGTCTCTGAGGTTTAGACTTGAAGTCCAGGTTTTCGTTCTGGTGGAAATTAATTCAATGCTGGTCTTAACATTAGAAGACAAATCCGCCACTATCTCACCTCCTCTCGTTCTGTTTTCCAGTAGAGGGCCTATTTTTTTTTTCTTTTTAATAAACTTTATTTTTCAGAGAAGTTTTAGGTTCATAGAAAAACTGAGTAGAAGACAGAGGGATTTCCTATGTGACCCTTGCCCCAACAGGAGTGATGGTTTTGTTACAATCATGAAGCTACAACACACATTGTTATCACTCAGAGTCAGTAGTTTACTTTAGGGTTCACTACTGGTGTTGAACATTTTATGGGTTTGGACAAGTGTATAATGACACGTATCCACCATTATAGCACCATGCAGGGTAGCTCTGCCTGTGCCCTACTCACTCCTCCCTCTATCACCCCGACTACGGTGTGAATGCAGTCACATGCAGGGAGGGGGCATGGCTGTATTCCCACAAAGCTATATCTTCAAAAACACAGCAGGGGAGAGAAATTCCAGAGTCTGGGAAACCCAGCCGAACTGTCAAATCAAATCAGTAATTTATAGTCAAGGTCAAGTTTCTATATGAGGGCTGAAAACATAAGAGACATGGTCATAAGGTAAAGTTAGTTCAGCCAACAGGAGATGAGGTCAGGAACCAAGTAGAACTGGATGTGGTCTACAAAGCCGGTGGAGAAGCTCTAGAGGACAGTCAAGTTTCTGTGTCATGGTCACATGCACTGGAGGTCAGACCCCAAGGAACTAAGAAAAAGTGCCACACCCTGGTTCAGAGACTCCACAGTGTAAGAAAATGATGTGATCACCATTAGAACAGCACCTGCAAAACCTTAACTATGACACAGTCCCCAATCAGAGTCTGAACAGTGAGTTAACCTAAATTGGCAACACACTTGCTCCCCCGCCTCTCCCTGACCTTCCTTTTGTCCCTTACCCTTATTCTTTTGATTTTTCTACATGCTGTCTATTGTGGATATTCAAATCCCTAACTGGGACATTAACTTTTTAAAAACAGAGACCATTAAATATTCTCCTTCTTGGGAACTGCCTCATAGTGATTTATAACTATACTGAAAACACAGTAAATGCTTAATATAAATGTAAGTGAATTAAGCAATTAAATACATTTCTTGGGAAAGAATAGACCAAGCATGCTCCCATGTAGAGCATACCCCAATCCACCATGCCACACGTTACCTGTGTATCGGATGATTCTGGTTGTGCACATCTTGAGTGTTCAAAGACTCCTGGGCTCACCCAGACCCCAGTTAAGTTGGAGGAGACCTCACACGTTGTGTCCTTTGAAGGTGGACACCAGGATGTGGAGCTGTGAGCCTCCTGGTCATTTGGGCGTGTAATGGGCTACAGAGATGAAGCACAAGTGAAAAACAGCAAACCCTTCTGGCGAAGTAAAAGGGCTCAAATAAAACCCTGTTGTCAAAAATACAGGAGTGTGACATTTAAAAGGAATAAATGTTTTCTTACCCTCTAAAGACAAAAAAATTTAGAGGGATTATTATGTATTACATTTTAACTAATTTTGGAAAGTTAACAAAGTTCTGGCTCAGGAATGTATATCCTCTTCCTCATCACATTGCATAAATGTGTCAACTATCCTCATGATGCAAGCTTCTGTAGGGAAAGGACGTATTACAAAGCCTCTACAAGGAACAGGATGTAGAGCTGAAGAAGTCCTTGCAACTAGTCACAAACAACCCGTTCAGGTCACTTTGAAAATAAGAATGCTGACGCAGAAGTGATTTGCTTTATGATACCATGGCAAGCACTAGAGCTAAGAGCTTCCAGTGGCAAGACTTGTGAAGGTTCCACTGTGCTACACTCTGAGTGCTATGTTGAACTTTGCTAATATATGAGTGTAGTGTGTACCATCCTACACTGTGCTTATGAAAAACCCTCTACTACTTTGTGTAATTCATACCATGCTGTAGCCAATGGAACTCCCAAGCCCGTAACAGGAATCAGAAGACAAATCCTTTGTCCAGCTTGCCACACATTCTTGCTGGTTCAGCTTGGACATACAGCAGCACAAAAACCATTTATGACAACAACAAAAAAGTCTCTGCTCTTGAGAAGTTTTATTTGCTAACAAGAAGGCAACACAGAATAGTGTATAATTAACAAATAAATGCAATAAGTGTAAAACATTGTTGAGAAGTAGGGGTGAATAAAGATTGAAAAGGAGTGCGTTTGGTGGAAAGACTTGGGGGAGAGTTGTGTTTAAAAAAGGAGGGAAGAAGAATGAGATACGTCAGAATGAGAGAGCAGCACAGTCAGGAATTTATGGATCTTGGGAAAAAATTCTGTTACATACCAAAAATACTGTAGAATTATCTAGAGCACTTCATCTCACAGGATGGTAATACTTATTTTCTAGGTTCTAGATGTAAAGAGCATCTTTGGCCACTCCTTAATCAGCTTCAAAACGGGGAACACTGAAATCACCCACTTGCAGACTTGCTTGGATGATTACTCAGTAAATAACTGCAAAGTGCTTAGAGCAATGTCTGATACGTAGTATAAACTCAGTGAGTTTTAACTAGCATTATTGGTAGTAGTAGTATTTTTTCTTTTTTTTATTGTTTGGGATTATTGAGAGTACAAAGAATTAGGTTACAGTGATTGCATTTGTTAGGTTAAAGTCCCTCTTATAATTGTGTCCCACCCCCAAGGGAGGTGCCATACACTGTGACCCTCATCCCCTCTCTCCTCCCCTTTCCCCACTCCCTCATTCCCCTGCCCCCAACCTTAAATTGATTTGACTTTTTCTCTAATAAGGGTATGTATTAGATCATCTCCTGGCTTCATATTAGAATTGAGTACATTGGATTCTTGCTTCTCCATTCTTGTGATACTTTACTAAGAAGAATGTCGTAGTAGTAGTATTTTTATAACAACTACTACTCTACTAGTTGTCTTTGACTGTGTTGATTTCATAACCCATTGCTAAATAGTTATAGAATTTGCTGGCTAACCACTAGTGAGTTCCCTTAAAACTATGTTCTCATTGGCTCATTAGGAACTATCATTAAAAATACAAAAAAAGAAAATACATTGCCATTAACATAGATAAGATGGAATACTCTTAGCAGTAATCAGTTAAGTTAGATTTTTCTGAGTTTAGTTAGATTCTTCTGTATGTATGATATCAAAGAAAGAAAGATATCAGCTATATGTTTTATTCAATATGATTAAATAAAATTTCACCTGTTATTCATCAGGTAAATTTGAGGAACATTAAACTTACCTTTATTAATACCCTTGCTAATTTTCCTGGGTACCAATCCTACTGCTTTAGTTATATCCAATTTGCCTGTAACTTATGAATTTGACATTTCTTTTCTTTTCTTTTTTTTTTTTTTTTGAAACAGTCTCTCTTTGTCACTCTTAATAGAGTGCAGTGGCATCATAGCTCACAGCAATCTCAAACTCTTGGGCTCAAATAATCCTCTTGCCTCAGCCTCCCAAGTAGCCAGGACTACAGGCACCTGCCACAATGCCCAGTTATTTTTAGAGACAGGGTCTCAGGGTCTCAGGGTCTCATGCTTGCTCTGCCTAGTCCCAAAGTCTTGACCTCAAGCAATCTACCTGCCTCAGCCTCCCAGAGTGCTAGGATTACAGGTGTGAGACACCATACCCAGCTGAACTTGACATTTTAAAGCACTTTGTAAACAAAGTAAAACTCACTCACTAGGCCAGTTTTCCAGAATTTTCTAGTCCTGTGGGAATCACAGCCCTTTTAAAGAGGAAGTAAAGGTTGGAAATAATTACTGGTGGAGAGCTTATGATCTCAGCCAGCTTTGCAGTAACAATTTTGCTGTGTTAGGATGTTATGACTCTTAGTACAGGTGGCGTCTCTGAACAAGATTGAAATAGGTGCAAATAATGTTTAATCAGATCATCAGCATAGCTAACATAGCTAATAAGGTATACGAGCTTTATTTACCAAAGGAAGCTCTAATCTACAGGGTTTTCCCCTAACTTTATGGGGATTAACTTCAGATCTCTTACATCCCTAACAGAAAAATGAAAACACCGACATTTCTTTTTTATTCATCTGCAATCTCCAAATAATTTTTAAACCCCATTATTGAATTTGTTCTTAAGAGACATATTTTTGTTACTACACCTGAATATCTACAAGAAAGTAAAATACCTAATTAACTATTGAGATATATGCTGTAAAAAAAAAAAAGATAATAATTGTAAACACCTTGAAATTTGTTTTTCTCAACATGATGGATACCTGGGTAAAGGGAGTATCTGGGCACCTTGGAGGTCCTCGTACAGAATTGTCAGACGCAGCAGTAACAAAGACATCTTCCAGGAGGTCCTTTTTTTGATAACACAGACAACCTTTTTTTCTTTTGGTGAACCAGGACTTCTCCATTAGATTCTTTTACTCAACTGACACTTACTGAGAAACAAAACTCTTTTCTTTGGTTTATCTCCTAAGTGATTAACATGAGCTGATTGCCACAGCTCCATACGGCAAAGGCAAAATATTTCTTCACACGCTTTTTATTTATTCTTCAGGCAGTGAGTTTTAACTTGCCATTTACATTTTCAACACATGTCCTTTCTTTGCTCTGATATCAAAGATTAATGTGCGAGATATAACAAGATACATAAAATCTATACATAATATAGATAGGATAGGATAATCGTATACAATGGTGATAGCTATCTAGTGAAAGTTTGGTTCCTGGTGTAAAAAATATTTTTTAAAAATTAGACAAAATTATCCTATTTTCACATGAAGCAAGAATCTTTAGAGAATTTTTTTTCTTAGGCCTAAAGACAATATCTAGGATTAATATCTGGTTTTTCAGCATGTTTAGAAATCTGCATTTTGACAGGTCTAGAAATTACATATCAAAATCTAAGCCTCAAATTGTAACAATATTACAATAAATAATGGTTATGTTATTGGAGCTTTATATCTACATGACAGTAAATTTAGAAGGTTCAATTGATTTATTTCTACAGTATATACTCATAGAAACATTCCTAATAACACATCTATATTTAAGTTAATGTATAAAATACAGTATAGCCAAATATAACATGAAAATTAAAGCAGAAAACTTAACACAGGGTCATTCTTCCTTTTTGAGAAAAATGCACAATTACGACCTTGACTACTAATAGTAAAGAGATCAAACTGCTCTTCAAAATGCTAAAAATGGTACTGTAATAGAGGCAAAACACCAAAATAGGACAATACTCACGGGCTGGTTTTCAGAGTGTTCAACGTTCACTACGTACTTCCCTTGCTTCTTGTCCATCCTGAGCTGCTAATATCACAAGCTCTTAAGCTTAAGAAAAATTTTCAACTTGTTCCTTGTCCTATATATCTGCACTCAAGAGAAATAATTAAAACAACTGGTAGAAAATCTCAACTATGATGCATCAGTGCAGCATGGATTAAACTAAATAATTATTCACTAACACAGATCCACCTTAGAGGAGGAAATGAAGTGTTAAGTTAGAGGAAGACAAAAGAAAAGCGATGACATTTCCTCTGAGAGCTCTGGTGACAACAGCTCTCCTGAGGGAAACCGGCCCTGAAAGTCTTACAGAATTCTTCCTTCTCTTTCCTTTGGCCCCACCGTTCAGGCAGTACCTCCTCCGAGCACTCGTGGAGGTACTGAAGGCGCTGAAAGTCTTACAGAATTCTTCCTTCTCTTTCCTTTGGCCCCACCGTTCAGGCAGTACCTCCTCAGAGCACTCGTGGGTCTGCTCCTGAGGGAAAGCAGCTCTGAAAATCTTACACAATTCTTCCTTCTCTTCCCCTTGACCTTGCCTTTCAGACACCTGCCTTCTATTTGAGGACTCACCCAAGATAAAATTTCTGAAATACAAGTTTGCCATTGCTTTTTCTCTACTCCAGCACAAATGCCTTCCCTTCTCTCGTGGGCGCCATCTCTTAGACACCTATGGCCTTAGAGACCCATCACCTGTTCAGTCCCTGGGTTAATATGTGGCAGTCAGTTCTCAGGTAACTTATACATATTAAAAAATATAGTAGAACCTCGATAGTTGACCACCTCTCTACATTGACCACCTTCTTAAATTGACCTAACTTTTATGGAACAGACATGTGCATATCAGTACAGTGGGCCCCAGTCCTTGTGCTGACCACTTCCATATGTTGACAGTTTGTTGCAGTACCTTGTGGGAGGGGGATCAACTTACAGAGATTCTGATCAATTTCCTAAGCAGTAATGTTTAAAAAATGATGAAATATTAAAAATATTTAGGAAGAGGAATTTTCTTTTTGTCAAGAAATCTAGTTTGTTTTAAAGAGTAAAAGGACCAACTCTTGTATTGGTTTATTCATGAAGTAAGTGAGGTTACTGAGCTCCAAAAGCGTACCCAGTACTCTCCTCCTGCAGAAAAGTTCAGCAACAAAAAGAAGACCACAGCCTTGTCCTCTTTGTTTATGACACTTTTGGATTTTGAATTTTTTTCAAAGTTTGAAATTTCTCTTACAAATGCATTTAATACTTGCAGCTTAATAAATTTTTCTGGATCACCTGAAATAACACATTCTCAAGCTTTAGACTATACAGTACATGGTGAGGAATTGAGAAGCTGGGAAAAGATTTATTCTAAAGAGGAGTTAAAAACATAAAAACAACATGGATGAACCTTAAGGGCATTATGCTAAATGAAATAAGCCAGTCATAAAAAGACCAATGCCATGTAATTTCATTTATATAACATATCTGAAGTAGTGGAAAAGCAGAATGGCTGTCTGGGCCTGGGAGGAGGGGGCATGAGGAATTATTGCTTAATGGACATAAAATTTCAGTTTGGGAAGTTGAAGAGAGTTCTAGAAATGGATGGTGGCCAGGGTTATAAAACATGATGAATGTTTTTCATACTACTAAACTGTACACTTTAAAATGATATGATGATACACTTTGTTATGTGTATTTTACCCCATTAAAAAATTAGAAAACAAAATCATGATTACTCATTCCTGTTGAAGCAAAGCCAGCAGTACTGTCGTGTGGCCATGGGGTGCGAGGACATTGATGGTATTAATGATATTTAAAATGACCTTTAAATAAGTTGATTTATTTGAAAATCAGAATTCTATTATTATCAAATGGTATTGATTTAATAGTGCTTTGTGTAAAATACCACTATAATTCTGTTGTGTAAAAAATTTACTTTGGCATGAGAGCCACTTAGCCATTGTGTTAAGTAAAAGTCTATTCCTTCCCGTAGCATCCACACATTTTATCAATGGCATAAAGAGTGAAAGATTAGGGCAGCACCTATAGCTCAAAGGAGTAGGGACCAGCCCCATATACTGGAGGCAGCAGGTTCAAACCTAGCCCTGGCTAAAAAAAACTGCAAAAAAAAAAAAGAAAAGGTAAAAAATAAAAAGAGAGTGAAAGATTATGCTTATTACTTGAGCTTCACCTTCATGGTCTCTAATTGACCAAGCAGTTCCAAGACTGGATTGGAAAATTTGGAAGAAAATTTTAAATTTTTAAAACATAGTAGCAGACAAATTAAACAACGCATTTTTCTGTAACTAAATTTACCCTGTAAAAATCATATTTTTCTTTATTTTGCAAAAAGTATTTCTTTGAAAATACTCTTTTCAAATAATTCAACAGAATTCAACAATTCTGTGAATGCCTCAATTGAGAGGTCAACAGAAAAATACCTCTGGATTGCCACAATGAGCAGACAAGATGAGTACCTGTCATTGGCATGTCAGAATCTCTGATGAATGATTGTCATTCTGAGCAGGATTTATGCCTCAAAGAAATCTGAAAATCTTGTTGGTTGACAGGAGGTTGGGAGAACTCTTAGCTATTCTTCCAGAGTTGGTGGTGGGGAGGCTGTTTCTCAGTCATTTAATACAGAGGTGAAGTGTACTATTGTCTCAAAGCCTAGGTCAAAGCTGATTTTTTTTTTAATCAAATTACTCAAACAACATTTTTTTTACCCAAAATCTCAATAGTATTATTATTATTTCTTTTTCTGTTGATAATCTGAAAGTCAATATGACAGTTTCAGACTTGTGGTCTTAGACAACATTTTAGGGAAAGGGATTATTCTACTTCATTTTTGTTGCATTAGTGACATTACAACTAAATAGACACAGAATTACAAAGCCTAAGTAAAATACTAACAACACAGCCTGATTAATTCAAAAGTATAAAAGATTCTTGTGGAAAAAAAAATTGAAACTGAAGTGCTCCATCAAAATTATAAAAAGCACTGGAGGCAGAGTAAGATGGCGGAGGGGATGCATTGCTGGGTCAACTCTCCTCGCAGTTTCAGGTGAGAGTGGGGGGGCTGGATCTTTCCCTGCATGGAGTGCTGGCATAGACAAGCAACGCAGCAAAGAGGTGAATTGCTGGATTGGAAGTGTAACCCAGAACCGCAGTATCTGCCAGAAAAAACTCACTGCCACAACTGAAGTGGTGCCAGCTGCAGCCAGCGGCTTAGGGCCGGTGGCCTAAAACATCAGAAACCAATCCCTCGCCTACAAAGGACTTCTATACCCAATTCATGGGGAGTTTGGGTGTTCTGCAGAGAGTGCGGTGAGGCGTGGACTCCAGAGCAGAATTTCTGGCTACCGGAAAGGGGAGCCATTTGGACCCTGTTTAGGGTGACCAGACCTCCCACTTTTGGCGGGACAGTCCTGCTTTTGAACAATTTGTCCTGCGTCCCGTGGCATTTTTAAAAAGTCCCGATTTTTGGAAAGAATACACAACAAGCTAGGGAATGGTGGGAGAACAGGAAGGGAATATATGGTTTTTGGCTGCCGTGTGGCTATTTTGCCAGAATGAGTTTTATATTATATTTGTTAATTTTATAATGTTAAACTGTAATAATAACAAATAATTGTTGAGAAGTGATTATCAAGAACTGCTTATCAAAGTTTACACTGTTATCAGGCCCTGCTCTGCCCTGTCCCCTGCCCTGCCCCTGCATCAACCACTGGCCATGTTGTCCCGCTTTACAAATGTTAAAATCTGGTCACCCTAACCCTGTTTGGAGCATCAGGGGTTCAGGCAACCAGATGGAAATTTGAGGGGAAAGGATTCTGCTCAGGAAACAGATTCACTTTGTAATTTCAAAAGTCTTTGGTGCACTGCACTGAAGCAGCAAGTGAAAGGGGCAATCAACCCCTTTCATACAGACTCTGAAAAATCTTTTGTGCATGTCGCTGAATCCGCAGGAATCAGAGGTAACCAGCCCCTTCCTCACAGAAACGGACTAAAAAATCTGTGCCTTGGCGCTAAAGCAGTTGGTGCAAGCAGCAACCAGCCCTTTTCTCATGGACGATAACAATTTCCAGTTTGAGTGGAAACTAGGAGTTGAAGGGAAAAACTGGTGAAGAGTGGACTCCTGTGCCAAGTTTGGAGGACAGATAGGAGTGCCGCCTGGAAAAGGACAGCCAAGGCTGGGTGGCCAGCCAGGAACCAGACATATTGTAAAACTTCAAAAATGGGGTCTCCATAGCACCTCTTCCAGGAGCGTGGAGAGCTCAATCTCACCTGTAGCCAGTCATCCTGCATCTGAAGCTGGTTCAGGACACACCACACTTTACGGGAAATGTTTTAGGGAGAATTTGTGCAACCTGTCAGCAAAAATTCCTTTTCTTGTTGTTTGGGTTCTTTCATTTATTTGTTTGTTTATTTGTTTGTTTGTTTTAAGCCTGGGAACCACTCATAGCACCACCTGCTATCTAGAAAGTATATTCCAACATAAACATATTCCCACTAACATTGATCCCCATCTCATATGTATGTTTGTATATATACATAAGAATAATATTTTTCTTGGTGGTGCCCCCTTTTATTTCCCTTTTTTTCTTTGTCCTTTTTTTGTAGGTGTTACTGTTAAGTCTTTTTATTTAATTTTTTTTTATTATAATACTATTCTTCCTTTTTTCTTCTCTCTTCCTCTCCTCTTCTTATGGTTGCTGAGAATGCTTACATCAGACTATTAGTTTTGTTTTTGTTTTTTTATTTTTTTATCATTTTATGATTACCATTTTTGTGGGGGGTTTTGTTTGTTTCTTTGTTTGGTTTTAGTTTTGGTTTTTTTATATGTTTGTTTACTTGTTTCTGATTGTCTCTGCATCTGTGTACTTGTGTGTCTGGTAGCATTTTTGTCTGTTTATTTGTTCACTTGGTTTCAATGTGTTTTGTACTTTGCTAAATCCTCAGATTGGCTATTTTCCCTAACTCCAATTTTCACATTTAATAAGAATATGGAGGAACAGGGGATGAGGGCTGACTGGAGCTAG